GCCCCTCCAAAACAGGCCCCTCCAAAACAGGCCCCTCCAAAACAGGCCCCTCCAAAACAGGCCCCTCCAAAACAGGCCCCTCCAAAACAGGCCCCTCCAAAACAGGCCCTGCAAGTTTTCTCAGGTTTAGTTGAGTTTCCTGTATTTTGATGTGCCCTTTGACCTTCCACTGGGCACCACTGAGACAACTGAGAGATGTGGGCACAACCAGCCAAAGCATCACAAAGACAACCCAAGACACCCCTGGGAGAACAAGCCAAAGGTTTGCTCCAGCCACTTCATGAACATCCCTCTTCCAAAAAATCTATAATTGATGGGCTCTCCATCAGACGCAATCGGATATGTTCACTCACGGAGGCAGCACATGATCCCCAGACGTGAATGCAGCAACATTTTTTGTGCTGGTACGAATTTGGGGTGTCAGGTTAATGCTCAGAGGTGACTGCACAGTGGGACCAAGGCACCAGACCCAGGTTCAGTCTCCTCAGTCACAGCTTGGTTCATCCTCATGGAGAGCTCACAACAAGAGAAGCAAGGAGGTCAGAGTCAAACCCCTCATGTGCTCCCACGGGAGGATTTGGGGTTGTTTTGAACCTCAGTTGTGTCTCCCAGAGCAATCCAAAACCAACCACACCAGCCCAGTGAGGGCACAAGAGTACGAACAAGACCAAAAATTATTATATTGCTCCCAGATTTCCAGAAGTGGTTTTCCTAGAGCCTTTTATCCAACTGATATCTCACAGGCCAACAATTCCTTCCTGTGATTCTCTGCATTAAGACACAAGACTTAAAGAGAGAAAATGTGACTGCTTCAAATGAAGCTCAAGGTGTCCAAAAACCTTACCACACTGCACGAGGAAAGGAGGAACATTTGCACCATGTTTGCACTTGCTGTGAAACTTCATTCCCACTTACACATTTTTTTTTCCTTCCAAGCCAATTATTTCTCCACACAAGAACTGGTTTAAAGCTGCCTTGCTTCTTCAGTACCCTGTTCCAAAGTGCCTAAAACTCTTCCAAAGGTGGAAACAGGACTTTCTGTGGTTTAACAGGACTTTAAAGCTCTACGTTTACAACTTCACATGGTACCAGGGCACTGGAAGACAAGCCCACTACTGTCCTAATACAGCCTCCAACTAGAATCCCACAAGCCAAATACTGAGAAGTCACAGAAAATGGAAGCTGATGAGATCACGAACCACAGCGTATTTTCCTTTGCAGGCACGGGCTGGAAACTGAGCAGCTCCTTCACAGTGAATATATTTTGTGGGTAGTGCTGTCTGGAAACAGCACTGGAGAGAATGCAGTCACTCTTGGTCCCACTCAAAGAGATCCTGGTAGCTCCTCCAACAAGGACTTCTGGGATCCCAAGACCTGCTTCCAGCAGGGACCATGCTTGGCACTCCCTTGCAGCACAGAGTTTGCTCCGAGAGTTAAACCAAGCCAGAGAGAAGATTCCCAACACTCTTTGAAGTAAGAAACCCTTCATTACGTCAGATTTTCCATCCTACATGTGATAAATGCCAGGCACAGCAGGCACCTTCAGGTCTGACTACCTCTCCCCTGTCATCTCAGCCAAGAATCGGAGCTCCAAATGCTGGATACAGAGAATGTGCTCAGAAGAAAGCTGAAGCTGCAGAAAATCCTCTCTCCTGGGCACAGAGCAGAGCAAAAGCTGACAGGCTCAGCCACTACAACCACAAGGCACAAACACAAGCACCTCTCTGTCTTTCGTGCAACCAGAACAAAGTGTCCTTGGCCGTTCCAAGTTGCTCTGCTCAGGAGGGAAGGGACCAGCACTGGAGCAAGCCACGGGGGTTTGCTCAGTTTTCCCGTAGCAAGCCAGCCTGGAAAGGCCAAAATCAGCAGAATTCTGTATTTGTAGGGAAATGCTATGAAGAAGGTAAGGGGTAAGGAGAAAATCTGGGTTTCCAGTGAGTGTCAGACCAGTGTCAGCATTTCCAGAGCCATACGTGGCAGAGGTGCCAGTGTGCCCTTCACCTCCCAAGCACTTCCCTTACGTATCTCCAGGGATTTTCAGAAGAGTCAATTTTCAGGAGTGAGCCATCAGGCACTGCCATAATGCAGTGACTAAACATTTAAAAATAAAAAACTTGGGCTAGAAGATTCCTCACTAGAAAAAACGGATCAGGGAGGGGAAAAAAAAAAAGGAGAGATGCTTAAAGATGAGCAGAAGGTGACTCTGAGCAAGGCCTCTCCCACAGCACAGCAGGTTGCTGTGGGTGGTCTTCCTTCTCTGGAAGTAGGTGCTGAGGTGTGTTTTATGGGAAGAGAGGCTGCAGCTTCCTGCTGGCCTAAACAGCATTAACAATGCCCGGCCCCCCATTCCATCGGGATCAATTCAGGTCCATGCTGGGGCTATATATGGCTGCAGCTTTCACAGCACACGCTCAGAAAGGGGCTGGAGAGACAGGGAAGATCTCAATGTTCCAGGCATAAATCAAGGGAAGTATCCATCTTCACTGGGTCCCATGCCAGACCCAGGACAGGACTTGGTTTTCCAACCCTGCAAACAGAGCTTGGCTATTTGCCTTAATTACCAGGGGAAGAAGAAACACAAAACAATCCCTGAGGTGAACTGAAAAGCCTGGTTTAAGATCACTCCCATTATCAAGAGCCAAACACACTGGAAATCTCAACCCAAACAAGGGATTGTGCTGCTCCCACGCAGACCTACTGTGCCTGCACAGGAACACAGCAACCACTGAGGCTGCCACCTCGGGATTTGGGCAAAATCTTCCCTGCTGGGTTCAGGAACATTCAGTTAAGTGGCGACAGCAGCTCTGCCACAAGCCTGGCACTGCTCTGGAACCACACACTCCAGCAGCAGCCTCACCCTGGTCAGTCACTGGAACCATTTTCCTGACATCCAACTAGTTAATAAGCAGCAGGAACATAAAACCTCTGCCCCAAAACTCAAATTAAAACTGTTAACAGGTACTCTGACACTGTCACACACCTAAAAGCATTTCAGTGATAACACTTAAAAAGTCCATGCAGGCTGGTGCTTGTATGGTCATATTTTGGGGTGTCCTGGAACCTTATGAACTACTTTGGGTCATGTTTTGGGGTGTCTCAGGTTCCGCTGAACCCCTCAGGTGACATTTTAGGGTACCCTGGGCTCCTCTGAACCCCTCAGGTCCCCTGGAGTCCTCCAACCTCCTCAGGTCACTTTTGGGATGCCATGAAAACCTCTGAACTCCTTTGGGTTCCATTTTGGGCACCCCTGGGTTCCTCTGACCTCCTCAACTCACTTTCTGGGGTGCCCCAGGTCCCCCTGAACCCCTCAGGTGACATTTTGGGGTCCCCCAGACTCCTCTGAACACTTACCAGACTTCTCTTACCCAGCATCAGGGGAACTCCAGAAATGGGCTGACACAGGCTTTACTATAAATATGGATTTACCTTTTGCCAACATTGGCAAACGTAGGAAATAAGCAGTGCTCAGCCTTAGCAGGGTCCCTGTGCTTTTAGGAATAAACTGGATTCTGGGATACACTGTGCCATGTGATTACACATGCTAGTTTTAAGTGCTCAAGAAATGCACTTTAGCAGACACCAAAGTACACCTGCAGCAATCGATTAGAACACAGAGAAAAGAGACCAGCGGGGAAGGGAGACAGACATCAAGGTTTTGAAGTTACATTTTAACCCCAACCGTTTCCTTTCAGAGACTGGTTCCCACGTTCAAAAACTACTGTTGGGCTCGTGCATGTTCCTCTATTGCACTCCTGGATTAGATACTATTGTTAGAGCTTCACAATCACCAATCTGACCCAGGGGCTGGCCAGGCACACTGATGAGAGCAGCAGAATTCCGATAGTTACTTCTGGCAACTCCAGAAAATCCGACATGGCAGCACATTCGGAGAATCCCACAACCCCCCAGGTGTTACCTGTGTACTGCACCAGGAACATGGCAAGATGCTCATCATATGTCAGTAGTTCAGCCAGTTCTCCCACTGCTCCCAGCTTGGTTATTTGCTTAAAAATCCGAGTGCCAGGCTGAGCTCCCAGGCAGCTCCCAGCTCAACGGGAAGGCTGGGACTTACTGACAGCAAAGCTGCCCCAGGGCGGGCCGGGCAGCACAGGAGAGCCCAGGCTGGCAACCAGCAGCTCCATGTGTCACCATCCATCTCCAGTGACTGACACCCATAGGCAGATTCCGGGATGCAGGGGACGGAGCTGGATGAGCAGGTGGGCAGGCGATTAGCAGCAAGAGCATCTGAATTTGCCAGGGATTTCATACATCACTGCTCTAAGCGCTGGCACGCAGCTAAATAAACCCTGTTTGCATGCCCGAGATTAGTGGCCTTTGCACTGAAAGATTAATTCCTGGTAATCCTTGACAGTAAGAGGGACACTGCTCGCTTTCCTCGGTTCTGGAAGCTTGTGTTTAGAAGAAATATATTAGCTTCAGACAAGCTAATTATTCTAGCAGGAAACTATTAAAGGAAAAAAAAAAAGAAGGCACAAAGAGCCCCTTTCTCCTTTGCCCCTGAGAATGCTGTGGTCAGTGACACCAGTCAGTGACACCAACCTGCAGGGTTTTCACAAAAACACGTCCACAGCAGCAAAATCAGGGAGATTTGATCAAGTCCTGACTGAGCTGTGCTGTTTACTCAGCACTGTAACCCCAAACAAAGGAAAAAATTCCTTACCAGTGTGTGTGTGTGCACACATGTGTGTCACCAGCACAGCCCTCGGTGCTTCCCAACAGTGGGACCTCTGCCATCCCCATCACCCAACATTATTAAATATCCCATGGAATGTTTTCAGGATGGCTCTGCCAAACCACCTTCCCTCTGCACACATGTCTAGGATTTCTAATATTGGGATTTTTCAGGGGGTGAGCAGCTTGTGTTCCATGAGGTGCAGAGCAGGATGTTCCAGGTTCAGAGGGGACAGGCAGCTTGTCCATCCCATCCCTCCCCACCCTGCCAGCCTCCCTCAGCACCCCTGGAGAGCAATAACCAACACCTGCCACCTCAGAACAAGGCTCAACAGCTCATATTTTCAGAACTATCTTTTTGAGAGGTTAGGAG